AGTGATTTTGTCTATTGCGAAGTTTCAGCGGAGATTTAGGCTTAAGTTATAGCTCGACCTTCTTGTCAATTCCACCATCAAGTGTAATGATTCTGTTAGCTTTCCTTTCTTTTTTGCTTGCTTTGTTTTTCCTTGCTTTATTTCTTTTTCAATTAAATGAAATTGTTGTGTTTTTGAACTAAGTGTTCCGTGTGTGTAGTTATTTCATTGCGTGATTGCGACCGAGTTTCATTATTGAATTACAACCGGCTCAGAGTACTGCATACAGTTGATAGTGTGAACGTTAAACATGAATTACGATCGAAAAGAGTAAAGCAGTTCTGTATCATGTAGACATTTCCAAACGATGTTTCATGGTTTGCCACTTGAAAATCGTGTTTTACTTTTCGCATGAATTAAAACAAAGAAGTAGTGACGTCACTGGATGGCATTAACGGCCGGTCGATTCAGACGTTACTGAGGGAGTAATAACGACTCAAAGTAATCGGATGAAATTCAGGCTAAGCCTTAGGGTATAACAGAATCTGAGCCAGTATACCGGAACAGGCGTTTGTTTAAAAGTACCAAAGGCGTTCCATGGCTCCCACCTCCTACTCTACCACCTTACTGTTTTCCCTGCTCAACTTTCTTTGCTCCGTCCCGCCCCACCATCTTAAAGCCTGGAACAGGGTCAACTGAAACAACTACCGTTGGTATAGAAGATAAACAATAGTCAAGGTAATATTGCCACTCGTAAACAACTAACAATAATGGTCGGTGCCTTGAAGGTCTATTTTTTCCAGTCAATGCATGTTTGAAATAGCAGGTTCGGATTTCGAGTTGGATTGAAAGAAGAAGACAACAGGTCTTCCTGCTTTGTGTTCGTAATGCTGGCAAGAGGTGTTTTACTGTCAAGGGTGATCAGTTAAAACTGACAGCAGTTCTAAGGCTTCCACTAGAATGCTAAAATGGTCAACCGATATAAGGAGAGGGAGAAGCTTAAAACCTATGATATATCAAGCCATAAAATAGAGAAAGGACTTTATTCTTCAGGTCAGCCCGACGTACAATTCTTTTGTGCGCTTAAATAAGATATCTAAACAAATCAAGCATACTGCGCGTGAGCATCCGCTTTCAATAGCTGAAATTCTTGTTCAAAACTTCACTACCACCGTCTGGGCACATAACGAATATAAAGAAAAAGGGGTTAGCCACAAAAAACGTCATCAATTCCTGAAGTGATCACAAAGAGCCTTTGAGAATGATAAGAAAGAGGAAAAACAAAGGTCAAACAGCGCATGCGAATAACGAGCACAGAAGGTCCGACGGCTAACTGTGGTTGTCGTCCATTTCTAAGTCTTTCAAAATGCTTTACAGTGAGAAAATGGCCATCCAGGTTTAAGACCCAATTTTTTTTTCCTTCTTAAAACGCATAGCCATTTTTCACAAAGAGGACCCTGGCCCCAAACAATATATTTCAAATGGGAATCAACTTCCTAGTTAGCCTGTGTTGCAGACACTCTAAACTTCTGCATAGAGTGTCCGCGTATTAGTGCACAACATCGTTCAAATCCTGCAGAGTCGCAAAGACATATGTCGGCGTTTTTGATTGGCTAGTTTCTTACGCCGTTTGTGATAAGTTTCATTTGAAATAAAGTGTTGACATGCCAAACACGACTCATAGTTCGTGACAAGAGAGAATGAGCTCGTGATATTGTGAAACGTGACATTAGAGTCACCTTGAACAAAAAAGGTTTTTTTTGTTCTCTTTTTGCTTAGATTATGCAGTGTATGGAGTTATTCTAAACTTTGACTGAGCAAATCTTATTTTTGCCGCTTTGAGTAACCCCATTTTTAGAGGTTATAAAGCTGGTCTGTTCCATGCATATTGAGTAATTAGTTCCTGTGGTTTACGTTACTTCAGGTGTTTTCTGACAGGATTTTATCACAGAGGCAGTTTGCTATTGAATGATTTTTTTTTTTACCTCTGTTAAAGCCTTAAGCTCCTTATTGTGGCTAAATAACCTCAGTTTCTTTGGCTTTCTTCGAAATGCCTTGACCTGAATAACTACATTGTATATTTTGTTGCTGTTACTGTTATTATTATTATTATTATTATTATTATTATTATTATTATTATTATTATTATTTTGACGCTAGAACTGTCAGCTAGATGGCAGAATACTCGAGAGTGCATCAGCAGCGATTGGAAGACGCTGAAAAACCGGTCGCCAATTTTTTGGCTTTGAAGGAATTCCCTCAAAGCATTTTTAGTTCAGAAGAAGGTTTTCAAGTTCGAACTGCTCACTGTACACGCTCCTTGCCAACCTCTTTGTGAATTTTGATATGTCACTGCGCCCAACCATCACGAACACGTACGAAATAGGCCAGTCGTGAGGCTTATAAGAAACCCTAAAGAAACCCGCCTATCAGAAAGGCTTACATATATCCTTGCGTCTGTGCTAATGGTCTAACCGATGCATGGGCTGGTAATGTTGTCATTTTTTCAATATCAGGCTAAAATTTTCAGGGCGTTCAAACGTTATTTTTATAATCTATAAGAGTGTAGACAAAGGCAACTTTTCTTTCGATTATTCTACGATAACACCAAAATCACGTCTTTTTCCTGCTTAGTTTCTTGTAGAATTACGTGCGAAAGAAAAGCCAATCATAGTACTATCAAAAAGTGCTAATTAGTAAAGTAGGGTCTTACTGGGTGGAATTCGAAGAAAACAGCAGCAATAACATCTTTGGCACCGATTGCGGAATTGTGGTAATCCTCTTTGATCTTATTGTACCCGGCAATGACCTCCTCAAAGGACATTTTGGCCGCTTCTTTTCCCTGCAGTCGTCGAAGGACTGGATCCAGATGATTCTGTTTGAGCTGAGTAAGTAGATCGTTACATAATTCTCTTGTTAACTTCGCATTCTCGGTCTGCCATGCGATCAACTTCACACTTAAAAGTTCCTGACAAAAGAAAAAGGACCCTCTAAACCGGGAATGGTTAGCAGAAAAGAAAAAGACAAACTGAACCCGTGCAAAATACCTCCATGGAATTCCATAAAGGATCAGGACATCAATTTCTAAGGAACTTCTCCATATTCTTCGGAATACTTAATAATCCGTTCAGCCATCCGATGGCCTCGTTCGAACCGATAAGCAAGCCGTTTGTAACCAGGGCTTTCGATTTTTTTTAATTTTAATAATATTAATACGTATACAAACCAACTACGAGATTACTCACCGGCAAGCGACACCAACGCTTTCGTAAACGCTTAAAGCCAAACCTCTGCTCGCAGGGTAGTAGCCGTGCGATTCACCCGTTTAACAGAGGGCCGTTAGTGAACGTTTTCACGTGAGGGGTCACAACTATAGATAATTGTGATTGCGTGGAGGTATTTTACACGGAAAATTGTACTAATTGGATACTGTTATAAGTATAAACTGCATAATAGGTAGCTTAACTTATTTTGAAATTTTCAAAGTAATTAAAAAAAAAAAAACTCTACAGTTTTCAATTTACAATGCAATTGTTCCGGCAAACTTATGCCATCTTCGGTTGTAGAAGCTCGTTACAATTTGAATATCTTAAGTTGTAGAAGTAGTTACAATTTGAAAATGCTAATTACAACGATTTCGGTGGAAGCTAAATGTGGAAAAACAACAACGAGGAGAAAATAAATAGCAGAAATATCAGTTAAGTTACATGGAAAGTGACAAGTTTACATAATTCACCTATTGATTTAGAATATAGGTTTCTCCATCGCCTCCTTAATCTTTAACTGGAATCCAGAGGCGGCGGTATCAAGGATAGTGAAACATTCCGTAAAACAGGACTCTCGGCATTCATTCAACCCTGCTAACAACAACCCAACCTACCCCTGATCTGAATAGAATCTTTTAAACGAACCTTTAGTTTGTTTAGATACGTTTCAGTGGTGCTTGTGGAAATTCCCGCTGTTTCTGCCATGAAGTAAGCTTCACTTGTTTCAAATGCAGTTCCATGTACCTTACGTAGTTCATCATTATCACAAGGAAGCTTGCCTTTCAGCTTTGACTTCATAACATTTTCGTAAGTTTCCAGGGCTCTTTTTATAGTGTCGGAACACTTCATCTCCACAAAGGCTTCCCAGGCATTCTGGACATTAGGAATTACTCCTGGACTATTAATTGCTTGAACGTAAAACTGAACCAAAGCAGCGAGACCTGGAAAATGATAATAAATCAGCACTTTATTCAGGCCACTGGAATAGAGAATTGCGATTTTTTACACGTATTCCAAGACTTTTGTTTCTTAAAGTTTATTTGTATAAATTTATACCCTTTGTACATTTTCACACGCGACAAAAGCTTATACAGCCAATCAGAATGGGCGGTACAGCTGTTTTCACACGTGGAAGTATAGCCATTCAACGACAGCGTAAATACCTTTGAGCCAATCAGAGTTGTTCATCGTTTGCATTCAAATGGATTTCCAGATTTGGCAGCTTTTTAGAGGCGCCTCCAAGTTTTTCTACAGAAAATGGCGGGGACGAAAGAAAACTATTAACAGGTTTGTGTTGGTTGGTTACTCCTTAGAAGAGTTTGTGCCGCTGCTCAAGAAAACAAGAACAAATTAAGCAAAACACAGAGAGATGTTTCGTTCTTGAAAAAGTTTTAAGTTTCAAGGAACGAGCCCAGAGAGTTCGAAAATATTGATGCAAGAGATCTCGACGTGTTAATAGTAAATTTTCTACTTCAAGTTCGAAAGAAAGACGGAGAACAATCTTAGAAACGCACGTCGCTGAGGTCTGTCTTTTGTAATGTACTTACTAGATTAAAATTTTGCAAGTGAATCTTTGGTTCAGAACGATGAGGACAAGATGTGCTGCGCGATTTGCATTGCTATTAAATTTGCACTTGGTTCTACTATTTGTGATTTGCTCTTAGTAATATGTGTTACATTAAGAAAACTATTTCAGTGAGAATTGTAGTGATATGTCTGATAAACAGCTTACGTCAAAGAAAGTGCTTTGTACGAGGTTATATTCACTCGTTGTTTGTGTCAAAAGCCATCACTCGCTCGTACCTTGCTCGTTCGAGCCTTGACACAAACACCTCGGAATATAACCGCGTACGCTGCACTTTCTATGACGTAAACTGTATCTATAGTTCATTTACAAAAGTTCTGGGACAAGTACTAAGTTTCTTGGTAAAGCAACAGCTTGGGAATGCAACTGCCTTTCCAAGCGTTCTTTTCACTGGACCGCTAAACGGTCGCTTCTTTTTTTTCTCAAAGTCGCTTAGGCAAGGAGTTAAAGCGTCACCAGAATCAGGGTAAATCCCTCAATCGAGGCGCGCTCCAGTCTCAATCCCCATTCTTAAACTCTCTCCAGACCCTTCTGTATAATTAGCGCCAACAGATACGGATGTTTTTTCAGTCTATCGTTTCACTCTAAAGGCATCAAGAAAAGCGTTTTTTTTCCAGATTAGTAACAGATATATACCTTCTCCTGTAACCAGCTCTCCTTCATTGAAACTCTTTTTAGGGGTCAAAATGTCTCCAAGTAGCCGTTTGAATGCCTCTAAGCCACGCAGGAACAAAGGATTTATCCGACTTCTATTATCGTTGATGCTTTTAAGCATCTCTGGATCAACGGTGGGAGATGGCAAAGTAAACGCTTCGAAACCATGAAAGAAGCTTAAAATGCTTTCAGCGACTTTCTGCTGGTCATCCGGAGATGCAGAGGATGAATCATGGACCTTAAAAACCTGCAAAAAATTAAAATATGTATTTCAAAAGCGGTCATTTCAGACTTCACAGAAAATTCGGAATTACAGAAACGGTTCAGACTTGGAAAATTTTTCTCACGAAAGAAGTAATGAATGTCAACGTTTATTTAATTCGTAGATAAATTACAAAAAGATATTGGGAATGTTCACACCAAAAGCCCATAACACATTCAAATATTTCGCCGTTTTTTTATTGGCTTAAACCTATTCAGAACGTGGGGGCTTCAACCCTCTGCAAAAAACTAAATTACTTTAAAACCGTTCAAGCTATGACCACCAAACTTCGCACCTTTTCCTAAAATTTATCTTGGGATATTATGAAGCTATCGTGCTGTGTTCGTCAATATTTACGTTACCATGGCAACAGAGTTTTTTACTGTTTACTGACTGCATTGTTATATTACACTTTATTTAGCATCATTCAATCAAAGTTATTATAAGTTTTAATGAAATCTCGGCCTTTTAATGACTAGCATGAAAAAAAAAAAGTTTAATATGATCAAATGGCAGATGCTGAGTTTAAATTTTCAATCGTGTTCATTTCTTTCAAAATTTCACATTTTGCAGATCTTTTCATTGCTCAGCATCCTTTTATACGCGGATCACGTTTTCTATTAAGAATACCTCGATTTATAGGGGTTTTAATCTGACGTCATCATGACTTCATAATGCTGAACATATTTGCGGAATCCAAGTTTCCCTCAAAGTAGGCATTAAGCGAAAAATACTTAAAAAGTAAGGCTTCTGATAAAGTCAAGAAGTTAGCTAACACATAAATGATCATTAACAGTTACAGTGATATCATGATAACGTCATTTATTACGAAAAAAGGAACAGGAAGCATCCTCCATCTTGGATCCGCCATTTTGAATTATCTAAATTCAGAATTATGACGTCATGATCATGATGTCACGTCAGATAACGTCATTATGCCCATCAAGTTATACCCAGAAGTTGAAAATGATGAGTACATTATTCTGTGTAACTATGGTGGACATAGCATGAGCGGTTTTTGAAGTTATAGGGGGCGAGCACCCCCTCCTCCGCCCCTTCGGTCGCATGAAGAAAAACAAGGCCAGTCTGAATAGGGTTAATTTCCCCGGCTTTTTCTTCCCCATTAGCTTGCCCTGATCAATATTTGAGGATTTGGAATAGTTTTTGCATTACTTAACTGGAGCTCTGTATTCATTTATCATAAAAAAAAAACAGAAAAATTATTGGATGATGACGTCATGTTAAGACAGAGAGGTGGCGGACCCGATGTAGCTCGAGAAAATAGCAGAACACTTCAACAGGCCTTTGCAAAAATTATGACTCAAATACATGGTAAAAATATTTACACTTCTTTCTAAACTATGCACCTGAAACTGAAAATAATTAGCCTAACGAGAAGCAAACCTTTTACTAATCTGTGTAAAAAAGGTAAGAAAATCTTCATTTGCTGGGTTCCAGACCAGAAATTACCATAATCATAACTTACTATTTCAAAAACCTTTACATAGCCAATCTACCTATATGCATTTTTATCATTGCAACACCTCCGTCGATTCTTGGCATCGTCATGCATTTTGCCTAAAGTAATTTAAAATGCGTCATCCTAGCTATTACCTATTAATAAGTATAGGTTTACCTTCTTGAGAAAGTAGTCCTTGATGTTGCGACAATCTCGTGGGATTTCCTGGGCAACGTCTCGCAGCAGCCAGATAAAGAAAGGAAATGTTTTATGAAAAAACTCTGAGTCCTGGTGTCTTTTTCCAGCAACACTTTTTGTTTTTGATCGTACCTCGATGCGCTGGGATAACTTAACAATAAACCTGGGTAATGGTTAAAGAAAACTACATTCTTCGGCTCGTGATTTACAAGCTTTTCTCGTGTTCTCCCAACATCCCTCATGGGTTATCACGCCGGTAAACCCATAGAAAGTGTGGTCTGTTGCTTAAATATATTTAGTATTCACTAAAACAGTGGATAGTGTTTTTCGCGAGCTCTGATTGGCTACTAAATCAGTGAATATCCTGCACTATTCACTGATTCACCTCCAGTTCCTCCGAGCGAGCGACCTCAAACTCGCGTAAGTTGCGAACAAAATGCCTTCCCGGTTTGCTGCCGTACTGAAACAGAGAAATTTCACAAGTAATCAAGCAAGCTGTTCCCGACATACACGAAGAAGGTGACGAAGTTCGGTTTGGAAGTTTTAACAGGTAAAGCTTTGACTTGAATTCATCGATAAAACAGGTGAAAACGTTTTTTGTTTACAAAGTCTTGCGTTAGTTTGACTTGTTTATAAATAATCTTAAAACTAAATTTAATAATCTTTTTTTCAGAATTGTTTTAAATGCAAAACGAATTCACAACTCCTTTTGAAGAAATTTCCCCGCAAGAGCTAAACAAATGTTTACAAACAAAGTTTTATTTGTCGGCAAACGAAAAGCGACGACCGCGGCCGTTCGGTCATTGCGGGCCAAAATTGTAACCGTTGGCAACAGTAAATGAGTTAAAAATCATCATTTTGGGGCTCAATTAACTCACTGTTTTAGTATATACTAAAACTATTATTCACCTCAGTGTCGCTGGCTAGTGTCGGTGGCTATCCACCTTGCCGCTTCGCGGCCTCGTTAAATATCCATCATCACTAGCCATCTCCACTACAGTGAATAATTGTTATATATTTATTGGATAATGCAATTTTAGAGCTCTAATTGGCTTAACCATCATGGTATATGAGCCATTATACCATGCTCTCCAGATATGGTATTTGTACGCGTCTGCTCAAAATTAAAAACAAGCTGAAAATCGGTTGTTTTACAAATAAAGTAGGGAAGAATTCTCGATATTTTTTGGACGTTTTTATTACCACTCGCGCTTGTTGGATATGAGATGGTTACAGGCAACTCGGCGCTACGCGCCTAGTTGGCCTCTACCATCTCACATCCAACGCGCACTCATGGAGTAACTGCTAAAATATATCACATCATATGATATACATCATATACATATCATATCTTATATCGTGCATAACCAATAAAAATCAAAAATGTTTTAAAAGTGCCACGGTAGCGTGATCCTGTATACGAAAAAGAAGAGACTTTAATACTTAATATCATGTTTAAGGATACTCAAGTCCTTCGAGATCTCGCCGGGTAGGAACACCCTGTGAGTTGTATATTAGAACCGATGCCAGCAATACTGTCAAAGTAAAAATCTGGTTGTCATCGAGTCCTTCACCGGTAACAGAGTCAATTCCCTCGGAATCAAGTAATACCACGGTGAACTTCTGGCCCCTGGAGTCCTAGAGGAAAACATCAATGGAATCATGCATATTAAGAATGCACAAAAACATGTAGGTAAGTTTTGTACGAGTTAGGACTGTAGAAGATCAGCGTTTGCAATTTCTTAGTCGTTTTGCTTTTTCTGTCGAGGGCTGGGTGATTTTCTTTCCTAATGGTCCCACACAGAAAGGAAACAAAAATGTTACAAGGAGGATTGGTGTTGTATATTGGACTTCAGATCTCAGGCGTGTGAAGAATGCCTTTATCCGTGTGCGTCTTTGACACATGGCTGCTGTAGCAGGCGTAAAATGGGGAAAGGGGACAAAAAGCCTCCTCAATTAACTAAGAATTATTGCCTTTAAAGTAATTACAAACATATCATATGAATGGCTACTTGCAATATTACTGATTTAAATGACAACGTAGTTTTGAATTAACCTTGAAGATTCCAGGGTACAATCCAAATCCAGATTCCCATTGTTTCAGGGTCCATGTGATGTCCAAGAGGAAATACTTGTGGCTGATCAAATCCTTCACTTAGAATATATGACTTTCCTTTCCTGTATGGGCCGGCAATAGATACTACACATACCGGACCTAGAAGATATAATGTATATGATAAAATTAGCGATTCTGCGTTCAAACAGAGTGTACGTGTCGTTTTGTTAACAGCTGTGCCATAGGCCAACTCTGTTGAGTTCTATCATTTAACCATGATTTTTTGAAAACCTAACTTTTTTATTTTACTCTTAACAGGTCGATCGCACAATTACAGCACTTTAGTGAAAAGCGTACCTTTAATCTTCCTCAACTTTTCAAGGGCTTCTTCCACAACATACAGCGAGTGACGCTTCTCCCCTGTTTGAAGGTACTGACTCTTCTTCGAATCCCACCTACAATTGTTCGGAAGGCAAAGCGGTATTGCCAGTCGCTCTCCTGTTTTTGACAAAACATCTCCTATCGGATAGAAAGCGGACATTTTAAGTAATAGCGGAGAACGGCGGGAAGAAATCTATTTGGTTTTAAAACTAATAACATACCGCCAAGAGAAATGTGTCTAACTTGACCCTTGGCCTCCAATCCCGCAGATCTCTTGGAAGCCACATATGATGAGTCTAGAGCTGATTGCTCTAGTGCTCGTGATAAAGCAACGTCTTCCTCGTAGTTCTGACCATGTCTTACTGGGAATTCTTCCTTTAAAGAGTAACATAATTTTTATACATTATCATTGACATCGCATTTTATGGTTAAATACTGTACTTTTTTGGAACCCCACTCGAGTTAAGGAAGGTGTTGCAATGAAAAATACTGATTTCATACGACTCCAGTGAGCGTATGGAAATCATGCTTTTCTTTGCTGTAACACAAAGGATTAGAAATGGCAATTGATTACCTAACCGTTAAACAGGCAAGCGGATGAGATCATTTTGTGTTGGTGTGTTTGAGCCAAAGTTTTCAAAGAAGACTTTGGAAAACTGTTTACAAATATGGGGATGAACTAGTAAAAGAATCAGCAACGCCAAATTTGCCCTTCACTACTAAGATTGCTTATTTAAGAATCCCTCGCGGAAGTGATTGTTAGAAACTATTTCAGCATGAAATATTGGTATTACCGACTGATGCTGCTGGTTGCTACTTGTGGAATGTCTTTGTTCATGCTCTTTGCGGGAAAGCTCAAGCGCCATGGCGAAAGCCTTCTCTTCATCTTCCAGCTGATACGTTTCACGCCAAGATGTCTGACCAAGAGAGGAAAAAACATAATGTTATTTATGGATGATAAAACCTGGCAATTCCGAAAACTGAAAAGCCATTGTGGTGGGCACTTGTTTTGTTCGGTTGCTGTTCTTATTTTTTTTGACGGCAAGCGAGGTGCGCGAAATGAGCACGCGTCTGGAGGGTGAGGAGCGTGTTCTTAAAATATCTCCCTTCACCCTAAAAAAATGGCGATTGTAACCCAGACTTAGAACTGAAAAACCTGTGCCCCATCTTAAGCGTCCCCAAGTTAATGTAGACATTTCTCAGATTAAATTCTAATTTGGTATGTTGGTTTTAGGGGAAAGGGAAAACCGGAGTTTCCAGAGAAAACTAGCCTGCGAACGTAGACGTATTTCCGGTCGGTCTCTACCCCAGTGAAAGAAGCGACGACTTGAAAGGCGTCGGCCTCCGCATGCTAGAGAAAACCCTCTTGGAACAGACAAGACAATTAACAACAAGATCAACCTACATAATATATAGATTTAGCCAGAGCTAAAAGCGAAGCACCCGTTTATGTATTTATAATTTACTTGAGGCAGCGACCTTGGAAAAACTGCAAAGAAATCCGAAAATCTATTACTTAACTTAAGGGAGGACTAAATGACTTTTGAGGACTAGCTGGAAAAACATAAACTTAGCCTGTGATCAATAACAAGCTAATAACTGGTCAGCGTGAAACCTAAAAAACACGTGATCTCGATGAGTTGGCACCCTGAGCCCGCATTACGGTCATGTGATACTGATCAGCGAATACCGTATTTTGACAGCTGTCAATTGACCATAATATGATGTCTTAAAATTAAATATCATGGGTGACAAATTATTCCCAAAGTTTGGAGCAAAATTCCAAATTTCAAAATTGCCATGGCAACCAGTTCCGTAAGTCTCAGTGCCAAGATGGCGTCCAAATTTTAAAATGCTATGAATGAAAATGTCAGGGCATTAAAAGACGCTTTAGAAATCCAAAACACGCGACAGAGCACACCAAGAGGAAATCTATCAGGTATTTTGTCAAAAAATATTATGAACTTAAGCCAAAATTTAAGCTCCTTACTTTTCAACGCGAGTCGCAATTTTTGCAAATATTTGTTAAATCGACAACTCGCTCTGGACTTCAGTGATTATTAACATGACAAAGAACTGCGAAAAATCGTCAGACTTGCGATTTTCTCGCAACACCCGGAAAAACGCAATTTTTGCTGCTGCGTGCAAACCTGGACATAAGTGACGATTGTGAGCTTGATTTGTCACCCATGATATTTATAGGTAATCAAATGTTACACTCGTTAAATTATTGAATACTTTCACCGGATTTGTCTAAACCATGATAATTTCTCTCGCCAAAAGGCTCGGGAGATTATTAGAATTTGGAAAAAAAACGCGTGAAATCATTCTCTGGTTTCACTCCTCCCCATTTGATTACACTTACAAACACACGTTACAGGCTCCCCTACTAGCTAGAAAATGTGACATTTCACATTGGTTTCCCTGGGATGAGGACGGGTGAACGTGTGGACGGACGGCCTACGTACGTTCACGTGACTACCAAAATGCATAGATAACCAAATTTGCTTACCCGTGGTGCTCCGCTGCGCGCGAGAGCTCTGCTGTTAAATCGACGCAAGGACTCAAACCCGGGTCACAAAGGGGGGAGGAGAGTGCTCTCGTCAGTGTGCAATCCTTGCTGTAGGAATCAAGGGTTGGCACAGTTGGGTAGTGTGCGGCCTGCTTTGCGTCACGTTTACAGCTCAATTCCTGGGTGTAACTCACCAATTCTACCCTTGGTAGGCCGGTCGGTCTGTTAGGACGTGTGCGCTGTTATGTCACTTCGCATAGTGCTACTACCAATTTCATATCAGTGATTAGACCAACATTAGAGTATGGTGCTCTGGTCTGGGCATCTAGAGATATCTATTAGTGACACTATGATGGAAGCTTTGAAGTGGCCAAGTCTAAGGTCCTGGCGCGATGAGCATATTCTTAAACTTGTGAGGAAATGTATGGATGGTCGGTGCCCTCAGTGTTTTAAGCACTATTTTGCTTTTAACAAGGACATTTGTGCTCTGTCAACCCGCCAGAACAGTCTTTTGCGTCTGCCTACTATGAGAACAGCAGTGGCCAGAAGATCCTTTTTTTACTATGGAAGTACAGTTTTTAATACTTATTGTAACTGTACATAATTTTGCGTGATCTTGTTATTAGTTGATATGTTATATTACCATTGTATATATTTCATTATGTTTTTATTGTCTAATTAGTGAACTTAGGGCTCCTACTGATAGCAGGGATGCTTTGTAAGCTCCCTGAATGGATTACCCTGAGTAATTACTTTTTGATTTTAAATAAAGGCGTCTATCTTTAATTCTAGTAAATGTTTGAGGGAGAAGCGGGATAAGACGAGCGCACCTTTGGCCCCAGGTTTGTTAGTCAGATCAGGACTATTCCGAGCTAACGAAGCGAAATAAGGACCCTTTTACCTTAACCTTCACCGTTTTTGCTCCCTTTTAGGTCGCGAGGGACACCTATTCATGAATGAATTCATAAGGAAAAATCTTGCTTGTGCTACATCTTGTAAAACGCTGCTAAAACGATAATGTCGGCTGCTTTAGAGGTGATTTACATAAAATTTTACAGAGACATTGTGGAATGATGGAAGTTTAGGAGGGTTGTTTTTGTTATCATTATTATTTGGTAGATCGCTTTACGGCAGCACTTTATTGAGCCACAGTTGTACCAAATAGGGAAATCGCGCTTTTGTGTACAATTTTGCGGAAGGAATAGACGACAGCACTATGTGATTCTTTTAGTAAATGATTAGTCAAAATCTCTAGTGTATATGTATACAGCAGAGTTTACCATTTAACGTTTCCCTGCAAGCCGTATAATCGTTTAAATTAGCAAAATCACTCATTCCTGAAATTAACGCCTTATATTTTTTTATAGCACAGGTAGCCCAACCTCGAAATATGAGCATCAGCGAACATCGGCATTGTTGCGTAACATTCGAAATATAAGGATTTGTATGGGAAAAAACCTATCGTTTCTGTAACCTAGGAAAATGAAAGGATTTCAATAAAAAACAGCTTACCTTACTTAAACTGTGTATTACGTCTCTCCTGTGTTAGACTACGAGTAGTCCCCCTTTTTCCTCAGGGATAGTAGAGCGAGCGAAACGCGGGCGTGCGTGAAAATCACTCCGCGCGAGAAAAGGCGACACGCGGCAGGCGCGTGAAAATCACCCTACGCGAGAAAAGGCGATTTTCTCTCTCCCTGCCGCGTGTCGCCTTTTCTCGCGTGGAGTGATTTTCACGCGTTTTTCACGCGTTTTTCGTTTTTCACTTTGAATAAACATTCGGTTCGCAGTCTAAGTACCACATGTGCAAGTGGTCACTTTAAATTATGCGCTCATCTTTTATCCAGTTATGAATATCTCGTATAAAACCTGTCGATGTTAGTCGTTGTACTTCGTGCCACGCTTCAAAATAAATACATTAATGAGCCCAAGGTGTCCCCCGTGACCTTAAGAGGAAAAAAAGAAAAAAAAACATGAACAGCAACAGCGTCAAACCAAATTTACGCTTGGTTACTTTTGTGTTATCTATTCAGTCCTCATGATCTTGGCAATTTAACAAAAAAAGTACAGAACAGTATCTGCTTTGAGCAATCCGTTAAACCTTATCGGCCATTTAACTTTATCTTCTTAACAACTAAACAGGCCGTTTCGCTCATTCTCTTTATATGTTCGTCGGTTCGTTTGAGACAGATATTATTTTGCTGCCTTAAACATTCGGGGTTCTTAAACTTGAATTGAGTAAATTTCTTGGTTAACTTACATCCATAATCTGTAAGCACTTGAAGTCAACGCTCTGCGTCCTCTGTAGAAAGACCAATCTTCAGGCCAACTTTCTGCCAAAAAATGTAATTAGACAAGCAAAATTGACAACCAATATTAGCGGTATGAAGGCTTCAAGGTTTTAAAGAAAAAATAATAATAAAATGGAGTTGTCAGGAAGGGCCTGTAATGGTGTGTTCTGGTGTGTTTGTGTAATTCCAACGCGGAAGTAGACTGAAGTAAGCCGGAACTAAAAACCGCTTTGTGTTTTACTTCTTTAGGTTGACTTTCTTCTTTGGGTTACCTTAACCACATAAAGGAGATAATGATGTAAAAACTGAAATATTGCTAAGCAGAAGGAAGTAGCAACGAAAATCTTGGTGTAATTAAGA